AATTCAACAAATTATATCAGATTTTTATATTTCATTTTTTAATTACTATATTAGATATTCAAATATTTCTATTCATATATTTATACTAAAATTATTTATGGTTAGAAAAATATTAAAATGATTTCTATCCTGTAGTAAAATTATAAAATTATTTTATTTTTTAATAATTTAAAAAACATCAACATAAATTTACAAATTTGGGGATTGAAATAGTTTAATTTTAGTCTAATTAAGCTACAATTAAAATTTCATTTATTAACTAATCAATTTCGATAAGTTTTTATGATTTCCACAAATGTTCTCAAAAATTTTGCCAACATCAATATGTACTTTGTGAAATTTGGAAGCTTGACATTTTTCTCCATATCAACATTTTAAATCTTTCTTAAATATGCTTTATTATAACTTAAATAATAACATAATTGAGTCACAATTAAAATCTCAATTATAAATTGAAACCATTTTCACAAATTTTCACATATCCCAATGGTTATTTATGGAATTTTGATTGACATCAATATTTCAATATAAATCTATAATATATTAAAAAGTGTGGTGTGTTGTCTTTATACTTATTTTTTATTTTTTTTCCTTCAATACTTCCGTTTTTCTTTCCATTCATTTTTTTTCCTTTTTTTCCAACATTTTTTAAACATTATGCTTTTGTTTTCTTTTTTAACTTTTTTTTTTCCTTTTAACAACTTTCCATTTTGTTTTCTTTAAACTTTTTTTTTTCTTTTTAACCTAAACATTTCCTTTTGTTTCCTTACTTTTTTACATTTTTACATTTTTTTATAACACTTATACTTTTTTGACATCAAATCATAAAATTTTTATTTTCTCATAAAAAAACATTAAACTCCTAAAAATATTATCTCTTATTTTCAATTTAAGAGATATTTTACCAAATCAATTATTTTATAAAATAAACATTTAGACATTCATTATAAACTTTTCATTTAATCAAATGATTTTCATTTTTTAAATATACAACAACTCTCATAGTAATTACACAAATTACATTATATTAAAAAAAATTTAAAACTTGTAACTTCTTCCATGAGTTTTTATAAATAAATGAGGTATGGTGAGTTCAATAGCGGAGTGTGGGCAATAATAGGTGATTAACTATTTTTATTTTGAGAAGAAGTCTATTGAAATTCTATTTGGAGTGTGGTTTTTCATTTTCTCTTCAAACACAAAACATTTTGACATTCAAAAGAAAATTCATACCTCACTAATTTAAAGAAAGAAAAAAACTCACGCCTAAGACTTTTCATTTTCTTACTAAAAAAATAAATACAATTTGACATCGAATCATAGAGTTTCATTTAAATGAAATGGTTTTCATTTTCTCAATTACGAAATCAATTTTATAAAATAAACATTTAGACATTCTGTCATAAACTTTTCTCAATTACATTATATTATATATATTAAAAAAAACGAAAAGTTTCTAACTTCTTCCATGAGTTTTTTTAAATAAATGAGGTATGGTGGGTTAAATAGTGGGTTGTTGATAATAATAAGTGATTAACTATTTTTTTTTTGGAAAAGAACTGGAAAATGATAATTCAATAGAAAAATCTATTTAAAGGTTTTTTTTTCTTTTCTTTTTTCCTGAGAGAGGTGTTAGAAAGAAGGTTAAAAAAATTGAATAAAAACTTGCCGGCAATGATAGTTTTACAAAATAAGAATAAAAATATCAAAAAAATTAAATGATTTTAATTTTCTCAATGACAACAACACTCATGTAACAACACATATATATAATAAAAAAAATTTGAAATTTTCTAACTTCTTCCATAACCTTACTTGAACATTAATGATGATTAAATAAATTTTATAAAATAAATAATTACATATTAATAATAAACCTTTCATTTAAACGAGAGACTTTTCATTTTCTCACATATTTACCATATATATATATAGATTGTCTTGGGTTTGAGGCATCATGTTCACCCTTTTGTTCCATTGTCAATTTAAATCGCATATTTGTTTTTCAACTTTTTGTGAACATATCTTTAGAAAAATATGTTCTGTTGAAGAAGTTGGAGTCATTTRAAAAGGAATGGATAGTAAAAATCAGGGTACTTCGAAGAGGAACAATTGAGACTTATACAAACCATTGAGGTCCACTCTAAATGTTGAAGTTGATCCTGGTTGATGAAAATGTTTTTTTTTCCAACGAGGATTTATTATTTATTCATAAAAATTATTTTTGGATTATTTATAATTCAGACGGTGATGTATAATGAAACTATTGCAAGATGGGAGCACGTTTGAAGAAAAATGGTTCCTGTTTCATTATCTAGAAATGTAAAACCAGTTTATAATAGATTCCTCAATGTTAACCAAGATATTGAGTCATAACTAATGAGTCTGCTACACGCCAGAAGCGTGGTAGACCAATGAGTTCCAAAGATAAAAATCCTAAACATGAATACTCATAGAGATACCGAGAAAGATCAAGTATCTGATGATAATAATGAGATCTTAATAAATTATGTCATGACAGGAAAAAAGATGGAACCGAGCTAATATAGTTATTAACAACATTTTTTCTTATAATGTTACTTTTGACATTTTATCTGAAAATGAAGATTCTGAACCAAAATCTGTTGAAGAATGTTGATAGAGAAAGGATTTGCTTAAGTGGAAAGAAGCAATCCAAGCAGAATTGAACTCGCTTTCAAAATGTCAAGTCTTTGGACCAGTAGTCCGAACACCAGAAGGCGTTAAGCCTATGGAATACAAATGAGTATTTGTAAGAAAAAGAAATGAAAATAATGAGGTCACAAGATATAAAGCAAGACTAGTTGCAAAGAGTTTTTCGCAAATACCTAGTATTGATTATGAGGAGACATATTCTTCGGTAGTTGAAGCAATTACACTAGATATTTAATTGTCCTGATTGTGTTTGAAAGTCTTGACATGCATCTTATGGATGTAGTCACAATATATTTCTATGGATCTCTTGATAATGGTATTTATATGAAAATCCTTGAAAGATTTAAGGTACCTCAAAAATATAATCAATTTTCTCGAGAATTGTATTCAATAAAGTAATAGAGATCATTATATGGATTAAAACAATCAGGAGAATGTGGTACAATCGTCTGAGTGGATATTTGTTAAAAGAAAATATCAAAATAATCCAATTTGTCCTTGTGTTTTTATAAAGAAATCACAATCGAGATTTTCCATTATAACTGTATATATTGATGACTTGAATATAATTGGAACTTCTGAAGAGCTTTCAAAGGGAATAGAATATCTTAAGAAAGAATTTGAGATGAAAGATCTCGGGAAAACAAAATTTTGTCTTGGCTTGCAAATTGAATATTTAGCAGATGTGATATTTGTTCGTTAGTCAACCTGTATTGGAAAAGTTTTAAAAATGTTCTATATGGACAAAGCACATCCATTGAACATTCCAATGGAAGTTCGTTCACTTGATGTGAAGAAAGATATATTTTGACCTTTAGAAAATAATGAAGAGAGTTTCTTGGTCTTGAAGTATCATATCTTAGTGTAATTGATGCACTTATGTATCTTGCTAATAATACAATACCAGATATAACATTTTCAGTAAATTTTTTAGCTAGATATAGTACTTCTACAACAAGAAGACATTGGAATTAAGTAAAGCATATACTCCGTTATCTTCGAGAAACAGTTGATATGGGTTTGCTTTATTCTAACAAATCGAATTCTGGTCCAATTAGTTATGCAGATACTGGATATTTATCTGACCCACACAAAGCTAAATATCAAGCAGGTTATTTATTCACATGTAGAGGAACTGTTATATCATGGCGATCAGTGAAACAGATCATAACAACAAATCATGCCGAAATTTTTGCAATTCATGAGGCTAGTCGAGAATATGTATGGTTAAGATCAATGACTCAACACATTCGTGGAACATGTGGCTTATCTTCTAAACATCATCCAACAATAGTATATGAAGATAACACATCATGTATAACTAAAATCAAGGAATGATATATTAAAGGAGACAGAACAAAGCATATTTCACCAAAGCTTTTCTACACTTATGATCTTGAAAAAAAATGGCAAAATCACTATACAACAAATTTATTCGAAGGATAACATGGCAGATATATTTACAAAAGCATTACCTACTGCAATATTTGAAAATTTGATACACAATATTGGAATGCGACAACTCAGAATCTCAAGTGATGTTTTCATGAGGGGGAGCAAATACATTGTATTTTTTAGTTTATTAAATTATATGAAATATGCACTATTTTTCCTTTACTAAGATTTTTTTATAATAAGGTTTTAACGAGACATATATCATATAATGGACATCTAAGGGGAAGTATTATGAAACTAGTTTATTAGATGTCCATTTATAAGCCATGTGTCTTGATCTCACCCATTCTTAGTGTGCATCTCCTCCCACCGCATGCTTGCCCAATTTCTATAAATAGAGACGTTGTATTGTCGATTTTGAGAGAGAAAATTTGGAGGTAAGAAATCATGTTATTTATGCTCTTTCGTGGTCCCTCGTTTTACTCTCGTGTATTAAATTTCCGTCGACATATCAATATTTTTTGTATCCATAAGTTCAACATTAACATAAGATGTAAACCGACATTTCCATAATATTGAGAAAAAAACGCCATAACATGATAAATATCAACAAAATATCACTAATATTATTAATTTTTTAAACATGTCAAAATTTTTTTAAAAAAATGGTCAAATGCTTATTCATTAATTTAAATATTTTTTTATAATTTTTTTATTTTTATAACATTTTTCATAAATATCCATCTATATCGGCTAGTTATTAAAAAATAATGAAAAAAATATATATATTTAAATAAAATTTTTAGTAATTTATAAAGAAGTCTAATAAGGATGGCAGTGATTTTTTTAATATGAAGTTTAAGAACTAAAAGATTAGTTTTAAAATTTTAAAGACCAAAATAATCCTAGCTTTTAATATAGGAATATAGATATTTTTCAAAATTCATGAATACCTTTGGTTCTAATTGATATACATCACAAGAGGGAAAAAAAAATGAGGTTGATGTACAGAGGCATCAAAGCATATTTGTTTATCCCAAAGTCGACTTTGCATTAGCTACTCAATAAGCTTATATACTAAAACAAACCTTAGCTACTTCACTGAAGCTTATAGAAGACTACATTTTTTCATGAGAAAGTTCAATTCTGGATTTCTACTCAACTTTATTGGCAACATGTTCAGAAACTGTCATATGCAGTATGTTGGCACGCTGCTCGGCCGATAGACGAATGGCCTCACAGTGTGAGAGTGGCCAGATGGATGATTGTAGCTGAACTTCACTCCCGAGCTATTGGCACCGAGATGGGTGCAGTGTTCATGGAAACTGCTGATTGGTCGAGCGAGGCATGCATCCCAGCGGTCGCTTTCTGACATCGTCTCAGCAACAGTGTATATACCCTTGGAGTTCGTAAAGGCCTGGTAGTTTAGAACTTCTCCAGATCTTGTTATGCAAAGGACTGCTACTTCAGCACCTGAAAATGGTAAGAGAATAGGAACCACAATATTTTATATCTCATCTAACTATTTTTGGCAGAACAAAATAGTGTGAAAGAGCAAAAGGGTTGATGCCCTGTAGTTGCTTATCATCTCGAAGTAGCGTAGATACGAGGTCAAAACTAAACTAACCGAGTAAACACCAATGATGGTAAGAAGAAGATAATGAAGATTTATTTAGAGTACTGAGATTTATGCAGCTCAAATGCAAGTGATTCCTTTCCTAGAGCATGCCAAAGCAACACGATAAAACTAGAATTAACCAAAAAGCACCATCAAATTTTGCTTCTAGTTCCTCATCAAATTTGTCCCCAAAAAGATTTCAGCACTCAAAATCTGCATTTTCTCAGTGGTAAATGGTAATTAATAATATCCAGTTTCATCACCACAGTTGAAATTAACATTGTCTTTCTTTCAATGAGTGAGATAAAGACGAAGAGTTCTATACCCTATAGAGTCTTATCACACAACATAACATGGACTTGAATTTTAAGGCAAAAGGACGACTCGGTAAGTACATGATATGAGTTGATCGCTGCAATAGTTATAACGAACAGAGAGAGAAGTTGACAATGAGAGTTACCGTCCGAAGGCAACAATGTTAGCTTCAGCTACTAGTTATGGCCAATAAATTCATCCAACTCAAATATCAAACAAATATAAAATAACATCAACCACAACATAAAACAATAAATACGTGGAGAGCTCTTTCGGTCAATGTGTAACAGCAATGATAATTTGTTATCTCATAGTTTTATTTGGGAGACAAAAATGGGTCATAACCAATGTTAAAAGCACTCTCCATTTCTAAGCATTTCCAAAACTAATAAAAAAAAGGGAATAATTTCCACTATAGCAAAAGGGGATGTTCTACAAGAGGCTGTGATTACATAATCAAACGCATAAATGAAATGGCTGTTCAGAGCTTTAGATGCAGAGAGCCTAAGACCCTAAAAAGTGAGAATATTTCATTCTCCAATTCGACATAAGCTCAGAAGGAACCATATGCACTTCATAACAATCAATCCAGTTGTTAACTATACGAATTCTAAAAGTACCGGACCCAAAGTAGCCCACGGCACGATTTGTTTTTCTTTTTCTTTAACTGAGAGTCGGAGTTTTGCTTCCCGTACTCAGGGACACCCGTGCCCACCCTAAGACCCGGACCCGAAAGACATCAAGAATATTTGTATCAAGAATATTTGGTATTGAGCTGACCAAAAAGTTTGAACTTGATACCTCTAATCCAGATCTCAGGTCTTGCTGACTGGGCTACCACTCGGAGGCTCAAAGGAAATTTGAGACCTATGGTACCAGCAGAGGGATCGAGCTGGAAGGCTCCAGACCATAGTTTACTAATGTAGTTTTCAAGATCATCTTTAACTCGAGAGAAATGGAGCCCAATTCATTCATTACACAAAGTTCTACTTGATCTTATATACGAACAAACCTTAACCCATTAATTAAACATAATTCTTCCTCAAACTGAACTTGAATCAGCACAATCCAGTTAGTTCATGGCCAAAAGCAACAATTTCAGACGAAATCATACCAAAAATGGCCGCCCACTAAAAAATCGAAAGCATCCAGTCGAGAATTCCTCTCCCAAAACATGTAATTGCAGAAAAGCAAAAATGAAAAATTGAAGCGAGGAGACAAACCTTCAAGAACATGGTCTTCTGGGCCGATGGAAGAATCGCCACAGACATCGCAGATAACTCGGCCATGGATTTCCCCGGTCCAACCGCTCGCACCTGAAGCGAAGATGGCTAAAATAATCAAGCCCATCCACAGCTTCTTCCTCTGCGCTCCCATGGACGAACTCGTTCGGGCCATTTCAGCACAAAATTTTGATCTCCACCCATTTATATGGCAGCCAGAAAGAGAGAAATCTGTCGGTGACGGTAGCAATAGCAAGTAAAGTAAGGAAAAAAAAATGTAATTTAGGCGCTGCGCTGGTGGACAAGGGTTAAAAATGTAATTTCGTATACCCACGTGGAGTGCACGTGCAATTGGAGGATCCATATAAAACCATATGAAAGCCCTAATTCTTCATATCCGCCACTCCTACCTCTTCTTCTTCTTCTTCTTCTTCTTCTTCTTCTGCAATTTTCAGATTCAACTGCGAAAAGCTGCTACAAATCCTCGCGTTTGGATTTTTTTTTTCTTTATTGTTGTTTTTGAACGACAATTTCAGCTTTCAATCTCTGGCTTGCTTGTTGGTTCTTAGTTTCTCCTTCTCTTCTTCTTCTTCTTCCTCAAAAACTGTTGCAAATCATTCGTTGGGTTTGTCTGTTCTTAGTTTCTGGTTTTTTTGGCTGAATGTTGATGTGAAGAATGGTTTAAGTTTTATATCCCTATGATGATTGTATAAAAGTAGTGGACTGAAGCTTACTGATGAGAGATCAATTCTGAGGGATATTTGTTTCGAATGGATCCGTTACTTTGGATTTGGTTATTAATTTAATTTTCCTTTTATCTTATCTGTATATCTTTGTTGAGAATTCAGTTCGTTGATCTATGGAAGCAGGGGTATTCAATTGTAGATGTGAGCTTGCCACATTTTGGGGAAATTGGGTTTCTGACTCATTCTATAATCCATTTGGATTTTTGACCCTCCCTAAAAAAATTCCTAATTTGTTACTCCTCCCATTCTAATTTGTAACATTTTTTACTTTTTTTTTTAAGTAAAATTTCCCCCCTTCTTGATTCCGGAAGGGATATATGACCTCTGCCATAAACTATTTTGGATTTATGATCCCTTGAAAAAACCTTGTGATCCCTTTTATTCTAATTGGTGATCCTTTTCCATTTGTCTTTGTAAAATTACAAAATATATCCACTGTTTTTTTAAAGTAAAATTATCCATCCATCCATCCCTCCTCTTAATCCTTACCATCCAATAAGTAAATTAAATCCTCCAAAGTTTGGTATATTCAAGAATAAATGCATAAAATTTGTTTGGATTTAATTATAAAATAAATTAATCCATTTTTTCTATATTAAATTTTTAATTAACTATTGAGTTAGATTTTTTTCTATTTTTAATTGGTTTTTCAAATTTTTTAAATTTGTAATAGATTATTGTGAGAGATTTGTTGAGGGAATAAATATTAAAAAGAAATTTGTTTTTTCTTATAACAAGGGGGAGAGGTTGCTGATTTTGAAACGAGGGTACACGGTAATTTCACAGGGGAGTGGAACCACCAACTACTTTTATGAATTATTGAAGGGTCATCCATTCTAATTTTTCCTTGATTCCCTCCCCCAATCCCTCCCTCTAAACCTTATGACTTTTTTTTTTTTTAAATGATGTAAATTTGATTTTCCATTTTAAACAATTAACTATTTAATATTCGATTTCAACCTTTTTTTCGTATTAGATTCATAATTGATTTCAAGTTTAAAAATTAGGTTTTTTAGATTTCTAATTTTTCCTATTAGATTCAAATTGAAGAAATTTGTAAATAAATTGGTGGAGGAAATAAAGATGTGAGTGAGGATACTTTGATATTTTACAAAATCAAAAATTTAAAATATTTCAAAAATTAGAAAAAATGTGTCATGAATAAGAGATTGGACAAAAATCCCAATTTCCCCATTTTGACTACGATTTTGCCATCTGATTATTTTAACTAAAAACAATAATTCATAGTTTTAACAATAAAATGTCACTCATATAATATTAATATTACTCGTTTGAGCAAATTAATTTTTTTAAACGAATTATATCGACTAGTTTACAAATTGTGACAAATGTCAATAAACTTTACATTTACGTCTGTATAAAACTTTTATTCGCTGAGAGTTTTTCTTTTTTTCTCCTTTTCCTCTTTCTCTGAGTACGGCTCATTGAGAATGTTCCAGTATGTTGAATGGCTATTGTATCTTGGTTACAATTTAATGCTAGTGTTTATATTTTTATATATTTAAATTTAACTATATGATTTAATGAAATGTTCAAAAGTATTCTAATTAGGGTTTAAACCTTACTTTAGTTACTTAATAAGTTTCAGCGGTAGTTTTAACATCTATTTTAGTTGCTAAAGCGAGCATAGCTCAGCGGTAATTGACATGTACCTCGAACCAAGAGATTGTGAGTTCGAATTCTCTCCCCAACATGTTGTACTAAAAAGAAAAAACATGTGTTATAGAGAACAAAAACGACCCGAAACGAGACAATTGAAGCCTGAGATCATCGACTGGGGGAGATCGACCCACGACGTAACGGGCCGGCCCAAAAAGGACGACCTAGTGTCGAGGCCGTCATGGCGCCTCGGCGCAGACCCCACCTCGGCGCCTACTTCTCAACAATCGCCTTCGGGCCAAGATACCATGTGGGCCTCCTTTGCTCGGATCTACATCGGGAGGTTAAACACACCTATTCGGGGCCGAGGCCAATCATTGGGTCTCGCAAATCCGAATTAGGGCTCAACTACAAGAAAGTTTTGGAACCACCCTCACAGCTATAAATAGTCACACCGATTTAGATCGGTTTGGTTTTGCAGGTATTTGTTCCACTATCATCGAGTTAGGTGTGTGCGAGAAGAAGAACCGGAGGGTCAAAATCCACGCATCAACAATTGGCGCCGTCTGTGGGAACGATACATCAAAACAAGCTTCGTCAAAGCGAAATCCCGATCCGAGGCGTGTAGAGTGAAGC